AGAAAGAAAGAAAGAAAGAAAGAAAGAAAGAAAGAAAGAAAGAAAGAGAGGAAGAGAGAAAGAAAGAAGGAAAGGAAGGAAGGAAAAAAAGAAAACCAAGAAATGTAACACAAAAACACAAAAATCAAAACCAAAATATAATAAAAGACCAATAAGACAAAAAAATGTCTCCTAAAAGACAAAAAGTCTACAAAAACACCAATGAGTTTGATTTGTGTCGGACAACTACTTCCGGGCATTAGGCCTACCCTGAACCATGGTCAATATACCCAGTAAGACTCCATTAAAGAGAATTAATTTTTCTTTTGCCAGCAGGTATCGATGACAGGCAGTTTCTTGGTTAGTGATGGGAGCCTTGTCTGCCTCTCCTCTCAGCCTCTGTTAGGTGCCTAGATATTCATGACCAATGAAACTACAATCTCCTATAATAATCCTACGTTTATCTTTGGTCAGTAGTAAGAGTCAGTCAATACTTGATCTGTAGCTTTGCTCTCAGCTATGACTAAGACTCTTTAGACCAAATTATGGGAGTCATAACTACTTTTTGTTTGCTTCCTCTATGTATTACAAAGTTCACCTGACTAAGTACGTGGACACTGTAACACAGGAGGGAATTTTTAAACAGTGATTGGGGATTGGTCAAGAAGGAATGCACATAATGTAACAAGAAGCTTATGAACGTTATTGTGTAATGATACCAACCGAAAGAGTAGATGCTTTTTAATAGGTCTAAGACTGTATCTCAGTATAGTTTGCTTACGGAATCCTGGACTGGCCTTGTTGTTGACAGTCCTCATCAGATCGGTATTCTTGTGCCCCGCTCACCCAATGTGGGCCCCTCTGTCTCCCAGCTTTGAGCTCTGAGGTATCCACCCTTCTGTTTTCTCTTTTGAGAAATAAGTTCCTGCCTGTGGAGGAAGAACATTACATCATACTTCTAGAAGAAGAACTTGCTTGAAGTAAAAAAATGAAAGCAGCCCCATTTCCCCCAAGTGCAAGTGCTTACATAAAATTACCTCACATCCATTGTCAACTTCATTTAAGGAAATTATCATTCATATATTGTAAACACCAAAGCATTAGGCTCCTGAGAGAAGATTAAATTTAATGAATTCATTTGTTAAACGAACAGTTTGAAGTGCCCACTAGCTTTAAGTGTTGTGGTAAACTAGGCAAAGACCCGGCACATTGAGTTCCCAGTATAGAGCCGGTCACAGACAACAATCAACATAATATATCACCAAACAGGTTACGGTGAGGGAGGACAGGGCGACTTCCCTGAGTAAGAAGCATTGGAGCAGAAATGTCATTTAGAGGAAGGAGAAAATGTGTTATGTGTATATATGAAATTGTCAACAAATAATTTTTCAACAAAGGAACAGTTCACATCAAGGAGTAAGAAGGCAGAGTAGAGAGAGAAAGTAAGATGAAATCCTTGAGGCAGACATTCCATAGAAGGGCTACAAGGACTAACAAGGTCAGCATTGCCAGGAGTGAGCCAGAGAGAAGGTGAGCACAGAGAGAGCTAGCCTGCACTGCTTCGCAGCAGAAGGATGGCTGAGGCCAGCTACTTATCCTGCAGTGATCATGGCCCCAATGCCAGCGCTCTCCTTCACAGGCCCTGAAAACCTTCACTGCACAAGGCAGAGTCTTTGCTCTGGATGTTGAGAAAGTCTGAGAGTTTTAGTCACTTAATTTAAGTCTTCACATTTGAAAGAGACACCGTAAGTACTAAGTGTTCAGTGGACTTGCTGCTGAGTAAGAGGCAAGGCGATCTCTTAGGCTGGTCACCGTCAAGATGTTACAAAGATACAGACAACGTGAGAGACAGTGCAGTTATACTCCAGGAGACAATGTATTTCAAGTTCCTGACTCAGTCTGCCTTAGTGAAGTATATGGTTCCTTAGCTTCCTCTTAACAACCCTTTCCTTCAAAAAAGGATGATTCCTTTGCTTTGTGACATCTTTCTCTGTTAGATGACCTATGATGTGTGATTGTTCTTGGATGCTGCCCTTGTACGTTTCCAGCATGTTTATCCGTGTGTCCGTGTGTCCGTGTATATATCCTTCTCTGTGTCTTTGTCTCTGTCTCTCTCCTCTCCTCTCTCTCTCCTTCTCTCCTCTCTCTCTCTCTCTCTCTCTCCCTCTCTCTCTCTCTCTCTCTCTCTCTCTCCCTGTGTCTGTGTAATTAAGCTCTTCATTACAGAGTTATTATATTTATAATATATAACTATTTATATATAAACATTATATATATAAACATTATATATAAACATATATATAAACATTATATATATAAACATTATATATATATATATATATAATACTTTCTGAACATTGTATTTTCCGTACATTGTATGATTTCCTAAAAACATGATTAAGTAAATTCTTTAATATTCTACTACTACTGAGTATATCAGTATATCGGTTTACTTAAAAACAGTCATTCTAGTTGCTTGTTCTTTTTGAATCACATTTTAAGATTTGAAATAATTGTAAATTGACAGAATAATTGCAAGGATAATCTGAAAGCTTTGTTTTCCCATAACCATTTAAGAGTTGACTGCTTATAGGACGCCCGGGTCATTTTAAACACAGCAGTGTGCATTCCTACAGACAAAGACACTTGCTTACGTGACCACACACCACTATCCGAGTTAGGAAGTTGCTATGCTACCGTTGTACTAGCACACCTCAGTGAGCTTTGCTTCCTCCGTACAGTCTTTTATAACACAAAGATCCTGTCCTCGGTCACATGTGTCCTCGGTCGTATGTGTCCTCTCTCTTGATTGCCCTTCCTGTGTGAACTCCTGTTCTGCCATGAGTTCCCCTGTCTTGCAGTTTTAAAAATTAAAGCCTAATTCTTTTGTAAACCCTTCCTCGTGTTGGCTTGTCTCTCATGGAGTCCTGATCAGGTTGGAGTGTGTGGTTTGGTAGGAACACCACAAGGGACTCTCATGGCACTCACTGCCTCCTCAGACCCACCAGGTTTACAGTTCTCTATAAGGAAGGTTTGATGAAGTGAGAGGCATCAGTAGCTTTCTTCACTTTAGAAGCATTTTATTATTTTTGTTGTTGTGACTGTTATTCATAAAGATCTCAGGAATCTTTATTAATCTACCAGACAATTATGAATATGTGTACTCTGTTTCTTACTAAAATTCTGCCCATCAGTTGGGGTTTATTAGCTATCGTAACCACTGCTCTGGTTATTGTGAGTGGTGAGCCTAAGACGGTCTTGCTTCTTTTATTGGCTTCTGGACCACTGTAAGGGAAAGCTCTTTATTTCCCACGTTATCCAGTGTTTTGTGTCAATTTGTTAAGATGCTGTCACGATTTATTTTGATCTTTCAAAATTGTCTGCAATTTGGTGAGTAAGAAGGCTTTCAGGGTGACCTCTGTGTTTATGGCTTCCTGACTCTTTGACAACTTTACTTTCTGACATAGCAAGGTGCCCCAGACTTGGCCCGTGCTTTCCTTGTGTCATATCTAAAGTTAACTTTTTTTCAAAAGAAAAGTCTTCTTCTTCTTTGTCTATAAAGTGGTACTTCACAACTTGATATCTGAACCACATATATACCTGTTTTGATTGAAATATCACTCTCCTACCTACTTAGAGATAAGGAAAAGATATATGTCTGCATGTGTACCTATGAATTTATATCTGTGTCTATCCATCCACCTGTCCATCTGTTGAGTCTTCCCTCCATGAATACACAGCAACAACTGAAATCCTTATCAGCAGCACCAGGCTCATTCTAGGTTTTCATGGTTGCGACGCCTTCTCCCACAGCGAGGAGTATGGGTCCCATTATCTGGACTGTGGTGATCAATGAGTGGAAGCAATGTCCATCTGCTGCTCGGCTGCCCATCCCCCTACCGGACTTCCTGCTCACTCAGTGATCAGTTCCAGGCCACTGCCACCCGCTCTCTCTGCAGATGCCTACTATACACTGGGTGCCATCTCCACCTATTTGGGAAGAAGCCCTCACCCCACCCCACTCTCACCCCACCTCACCCCCACTCTCACCCCACCTCACCCCACCTCACCCCACCACCACCCTTACCCCACCCAACTCTCACCCGACCCTACCCCCACCCTCACCCCACTCTACCCCACCCCCACCCCTGGCTTTACCACCGTACCAAGCTGCTGTTCCCACAGCTAATGTCACCCATCCACATGGATTCTCCTTGTCCTTTCTGTTTGTGCTCCACCATTCTGTGCCAAGGTGCACGAACGTCCACATGCTCATTCCACCTGAGGACTTTGGATGTTTCTGGAAAAACGATGAGGCAGGCGGCATGGTAATGCTTTATTGCTAAACATTTAGGTTGTTCCTAACTGGAGCTGCTCCCAATGTAGTTCCTGCTACAGATCCTGTGTTTAAGGAGAAGCCTGCCATACAATTATTTCCATTCTTATATCCGGAGACTCTGTATATTCTCAGATCATACATCTTCAGAATGTCACTTATCAAAATCACGGAAAATACTAGACTTTTAGTGTATTAGTTAAAGGTAATAGTGAGCCCATAACATTATCTCTTGGCTTGAGTTTAGTGGCTAATTCTATCAGGCTCCTTTACAAAAACACTCAACCTTAATCGTTATATCTTTATAGCCATTTACTTGTAACAAACCAAAATGATAATTTTTAAAACTTTTCTTAATACTTGACTCAGTTTAATTTCTTTTTTTACTTGTTTTAATTTTAAGTATATGTTGTGTATGTTTTGCTTTAATGCTTGCCTATGCACCACATTTATGCCCAGTGCCCTAAGAAGCCAAAGAGAGCATGGAATCTCTTGATCTGGAGTTAGAGGGAGTTATGAATTACCATCTAGAGTCTGGGAACTGAACCCAGGTCATCTGGAGGAGCAACAAGTACTTTTAACCACTGAGCCATTTTTCCAGCCCTTCAGTTTAATTTCTTTAACGTCAAAAGAAGTCACAGTGATTGTGTGATGTCAGACTCTGCAGTGTTGATTAGCATTGTTGAAATGCACACGCAGGAAGTTGATCTTGACTGTTCTGCCATCAGAATTCCACAGGTGGTTCTGAGCAATTTCTCATCTCCGTTCTTGGAACTTCCGTGGTTCCTCTTCCTCTTTCTATCTGGTAGGAAGAATTCACCTCAGGAAAGAACACTCTAGAAACTCCCATAAAAAGAACCCTGACGTCAACATAGTCATTTCCTGGGTCTTACTTGTTTTCTTCTCTGTAAGGAAAGGTGTATCATGAGATCAAATTAGATCAAAGTAAGGTCCAGGAGTTCAGTCTGTGTAGATTATGGGATGTGAAGATTTTGATCTTAGGGCCCCTGGCCTATGTAGAGTCCACACCATTCCCATAATTCATTGCTGTTACCTCTGAACTAATGAAACAGTTAAACTAATGAAACAGATTAAAACAAATGATTCATCTGCATTAATCCCATTTTGAATAGATGAAGTATAAACACATTTGCACTTCTGAGTATCTTCTCCATGGGACACGAGTCTCATAAGAGGGCTTTGGAGTGGAGAGAAGCATGTAGAAGGACGACTATGGAAAACAACAAATACTGCTATTTCTGTTTCTCAGCTCCCTTTTTAAACTTTAAGAAACAGAACCCTAAAATAAGGAAATCGGGCTGGAGAGATGGCTCAGTGGTTAAGAGCACTGACTGCTCTTCCAGAGGTCCTGAGTAAAATTCCCAGCAACCACATGGTAGCTCACAACCATCTGCAATGGGGTCTGATACCCTCTTCTGGTGAGTCTGAAGAGAGCAATGGTGAATACATAAAATAAATTTTAAAAAATCTTAAAAAAAATAAAGAATAAAATAAAGAAGTCCTTTTACTTTTCTGAATTTACTCTCCCAAATGTAGCAATCCCTCAGTATCAGTCAGTATTTCCAAGACCCCACGTGGAAACCAATGTCCTTAGATGTCCAAGACCCTTATATAAAATGGCACAGTATGTATATAAACTACACATACCATGTACTTCATATTAGATTACTTATCACACCCAAAGCAATAAAAATGCCAGGAAAACGGTTAATACGGTGTTTTGTTTACGGGATGGTAAGAAAAATAATTTATACATATTTATTATAGCCTCAGTGTTTTTATCAAATGTTTCAGTCTATGGCTAGTGAACACAAGGGTACAGAGGCTGCAGGCCAATCAGAGTGTCAACCACCCGGTCTACATGAGTGCTTATCGATAGGATTCCTACAACAGTACAAGCTGGTGCTTTAGCAGGATGCTAACAAGCACCACCCTGCTGTTAATTGTTTCCGGCTTGAGGTAATCGGAAAGCCTTGCCATAGTGCCTGTGGATATGGAATATGTCGGACGATCCAATCTACAAAGTGTCTCCCAAAGAGGGCACCTAAGAGAATTGCAAGAGCTATGGGAGAATGAGAGAGAGAGAGGCAGAGAGGGAGAAGGGGAGAGGGGGAGGGGGAGGGGAGGGGGAAGGGGAAAGAGAGGGAAAGGGAGAGGGAGGGGGAGGGAGAGGGAGAGGAGGGGAGGGAGAGAGGGAAGAGGGGGAGGCGGAGGGCAAAAGGTCAGGTGCCGTCTT